CAAATGCCCCCCCCCCCCCAATTCTAAAACCTGGCGCTGCCACTGCTGGCTGTTGCACCGGACTAGAAGTAGGTCAAGATAGACATGGGGGTTAAGGCATAGAAATTCAAACACCTTAATGCCCTGGAAACCTGGAGGCGATTGTCAAGTGAATCTTCTACATAACCGTCTTTGGCCGCTTCGGACTTCCATCCACCATACCGTTTCCAACATCGGTCGGAAACTTGAGAGTTGGCTGCCTTAGTTGCACCACCTGACCTGGATGAATGCAAAGAAATGTTGGCGTCCCCCATAAGCTCCTCTAATCTGCCAATGAGAGATTCCCGTGCTCTGCTCTGGCTGAGGGGTTTGTTGCGATCGATTACCTTATCCCCTGTTTTGGTTTGGGTTACAGGCCTGAATAAGAATTTTGTACTCTGATATCTAATGTGATGGAAGCAATTCTCATATACTTCTCTAGGTTAAGTATATGGGGGAAGTGATTTTGTTTGACCTATGAATAACCAGCCGATTGCCTTTCCTGTACTGATCTGTTTTGTTTTTTCTGATTATTAGCCTCACATGAGTGTCAAAAATGGCGATGCCCCGCATTTTGAGGTGTACAATCTCATTGTACCTAAGAAACCCAGAAAACAATAACAATGCTCCAACATACAACACTCCTCCAAAACTTTGCTGGTGATTGGTGTTTTCTTAGAAACTGGTTTAGCATGCTCTCTTTTGGCGCCCTCCGCCACATTTTGGAGAAATTTGTTTCCCATGGGATTGGGTACCCCTGCCATGTCGTGAGCCCATTTAATTAAGGACACAATAACTGGATTGGATAACTGAGGATGAAATGTAAGTAGTAGATAAATGGGAGATAGACAGTGAAACATCTATAACCGATGCTGGGAAAACTTTGAAACTTCTAACTCAAGCTAATTCTATCCAACAATTAAAGCTACATTTGTATAGTTTATGACAGTCCCGTCTGCTTTGGCATGAAGAGCTGTTTTCTTGAGTAACTCGAAAAGTTGTGTTTCTTCACTGGATAGGGTCTTTACCTGTAATTCCTTCCAGACTCCCTGGTCAAACAAGTTCAAACCTGTGAAAATAGGAAAAGAAAATAGGTATAATGAACTTTACACATTGGGACTCACAAGTTCTTATGTCTAAAAGGCCTCACGCATGCTTGAAAATTTCCATGCACGGCCATTATCAATGTTGGAATAAGATCCGTTTTTAAAAACATGCAGCGCAGCAAATACCACATATATATTGTCACTTTCTCTCTGAGTATATTCGTTCATATTCGCCCCCTGACACTGTTCTGTAATCCCCTAGTTTAGTACCACCTGTGAGTAAATTATCACCTGTGGACTGCAAAAAGGTTGCTATTGTTATAAATTAATACTGTTATATGTCATTTCCCAGTGTGACAACCACCTGTGCGCAGATTTGTCCCAAAGACCTACCAACTTGTATTATACTGCCTGCGAGTCTCCCAAGTAAACATAACACTGGTATATGTGTAATCAGCCCCTACATGCATTCTGTGCACATACCAGAAGGAGTCATACAGAAAACTCTGTCTGACACCCTTCCTTGCATGCTTGCCAATCTATGTACAGTGCAATTAATCTAAAGGGAAGTTTGTCCCCATTGAAAATGGTGTTATGAGATCTGCCCGGTAATGTGGCTGGGTGATTCCACTGTGGAATACCGGCCCAGGCTGTCACACGCTTATCTAAATGAGTGCCGTCTGGGCAAATGCTTGGCCAGAAAGTTGAGTCCTTCCATAAAGGTTCTATTAAAACTCCTCGTGCTCTGAAAATTTGGAAATGTTTCCATGCCTTGATAATCTGATTAATTAGGTGGGGGAACCACCCGGTTGTTTTCTCCCGACCAATTGACTGTATAAGTGTCTACCCCGTCACTGTTGGGGTTCCAGAAGCGTGGATTAAAGCGAGCACACTTTGTGTTATAACAGGTAGCAAACCTGTCCACTGTGACAGGTGTGTAAATTGATCCAACTGTTAAATATTTGTGGGTGTATTCCCCAGTCAGCCCGGTTTGGGTTTCCCTTTCTTTCTGTGTTCTGGAAAAAAACCAGCAAAACTTATAAAGAGCTTCTATGGGAAGATTATTAATGTCCAATACCCATGCAAGATGCCCGATGGGAAAATCAAAAGGCCATTGGACATTCTATTTGTCAAATAGATCTCTAATTGTCCATTGGATCGATCCAATGGACGAATGGAATATCCAATGGATCTGGAAATATCCATTGGAATTTTGTTTGTCCATTGGTCCAATTTACAAATGGAATGTCCATTGGACATTTTCTTTTTCAGTTGGTTAATTAACATGTCTTTGAATGACGTAATGACAAGCATAATGACATAAAATAACTAGAGGGCACTCAGAGACTGCATACCTCCGCCCGTTACTCGGAAGTGAAACGCAACCTTGGAATTTCCTAAGAAAACCACTTTGCAATTCTTAAGCATAAAAGATTTTAGGCCCCCGCGAATTGAAATCGAATTGCTAATAGATCATATTACTGTTGTTGTACTGTACAGTACTTGTAAAATAAAAACTTATTAAGACCCCGTTTACACGGTACCGGACGAATTTGTGACCGGACGGAAATTCGTCCGTTTCGGCCGTGTAAACACACAAGAACGACGGAACCGGACGAATTTGAGACCCCCTAACAGGACGAATTCGCGTGTAAACAGGCGAAAAAGGACGAATTTTCGTCCGGTCCCAAATTCGTCCGGTACCGTGTAAACGGGGTCTAAGTGTCATTAAATAAATGCATAAATTTTGCTTTATGCACTCGCGCGTGCAGTAATTTTCACAGTTGTGCTATTTTAAATTCCCAGGCAGCTAAAATCTTTTGTCTTTAAAACAATGTCGATTTCTTGGGAAATTCCGAGGTTGCGTTCTTTTTATACACCCCGTATTGAAGTAATCTAATGTTGTTAGAATTTGAATGGACTGGCACTTTGCTGAACGTAATAATGCGTAACTCCGTAAGCCTTGTTTTAGACATTGAATTTCGGTCGCGTGAAATGCAACTAAGACAATAGATACTGAAGGCCGAAGCTTAATGAGGTTTATCATCTCATTATTGTCTTAGCACTGAGTGCATAAATTATACACGTCCTAATTACGCATTCAGTAATATTTTTTGTTAATTGACCGGGAAAAGCAAGACAAAATTTTGTTCATTTCTTGTTCAATTTTTAACCAAATTCAACCAAATTTTAATCAGTTCTTCCTTAGCCGATGGGAAATGCACTCACAAAATTTCGTACGGATATGTTTCGTATTTCTTGAGTTATCGTGCTCACAGACAAACACACACACACACGCACACACACACACACACACACATACACACACACATACACACACACATACACATACAAACCCAGATGATTACATAACCTCCTGGCGGAGGTAAAAACCCAGATGATTACATAACCTCCTGGCGGAGGTAATGATTACATAACCTCCTGGCGGAGGTAATAAGAACGAATAAAACATAATGACGTCCATATGCATATCATTACGTCATTCAAAAACATGTTAAACTAGAGGGCACTCAGAGACTGCATACCTCCGCCCCCATTGAATTTCGGTCGTGTGAAATGCAACTAAGACAATAGATAATGAAGGCTGGAGCTTAATGAGGCTTAGTACTGCGTGCATTAAACACGTCCTAATTACGCATTCAGTAAGTTTTTTTAATTGACCGGGAAAAGCAAGACAAACGTTTGTTCATTTCTCGTTCAATTTTTAACCAAATTCAACCAAATTTTAATCAGTTCTTCCTTAGCCGACGGGAAATGCACTCACAAAATTTCGTATGAATATGTTTGGTATTTCTTGAGTTATCGTGCTCACAGACAAACACACACACATACACACACACATATACACACACACACACATACACACATACAAACCCAGATGATTACATAACCTCCTGGCGGAGGTAATTAATTGAACCAATTAATTGAAAAAGCAAATGTCCGATCCGGATGGAAATTCCACTTGTCCATTGGATCCAATATATTGACAAGAAAAATTCCAATAGACATTTCCAGGTCCAATGAATCCAATTCGTTTGGCTATCTCAATGGCCTACTATCTACATGACGTCCATCTTGTAGATACTAGGCCACTAAAATAGCCAAACGAAAGTGTCCATTGGATCCAGTGAACCTGGAAATGTGCATTGGAATTTTGTTTGTCCATTGGTCCAATGGACAAATGGAATGTCCATTGGAAATTTGCTTTTTTAGTTGGTCAATTAACATGTCTTTGAATGACGTAATGACAAGCATATGAACGTCATGTAGATAGTAGGCCATTGAGATAGCCAAACGAAAGTGTCCATTGGATCCAATAGATCCATTGGACCTGGAAATGTCCATTGGAATTTTTCTTGTCAATTGGATCTAATGGACAAGTGGAATTTCCATCGGACATTTGCTTTTTTATTTCGTCCATAATCCTTTGGGGAGGGGGCAGATTCACTGCAAGAGATTAATTTTCACCAAAGCCAAAATTTTTACAGTCTGACCCTGTGGGAAGATGGGATGCACCTATACCCCCCCCCCCCCTTTGGGCATTTGTAATATATATAATTTCAATTTCATTTTGTGGAAACACCACATAAAATTATTGCTTCCAAATAATGAATTTACGTCATCACGTGGTGTTTCCACAAACCAAAACTAAACTACAAGCACAGAGTAGATACATACAGAGGTGGAACTGCAAGTCGTAAACAATGCGGAAACTAGTGATGTTTTCATGTGCCCACCTTTTTTCAGGCAACTAGGCAAAAAATGATCATCTGCGCCCACTTGGCAAGTTCCAGCAGCAGTAAAGTACTGAAAAAAGTGGCTACACTTATTATAACTCCAGAGGAGGAAGAGGGTCTTCCCGAAATACAACGCGCAAATCAGTGCTGCTCATTATTATTCAAGTTGAAAAACTGTTGAAATATATTGCGATTTTTGCTGTGAAGATCTCGTTTTGATAACTTTTTTGTTTAGTAATTTCATGAAAGAAGTTTTGAATAATTTTGTATATATATCGCATTTTACTTATGTGAAATTCCCCGCATTGTATTTATTGTTTTCCCATTATTTCATGTTTTGGGTCAATGAACATGACCTGCAAAGTGGCATTGAAATATTCACGAGTAAATTGTACTTTTTTACAAGGAAACTAAAACAAAATCACATGAGTGAATTCAGGAATGTTTACTCTTTATATTGATACTTTAAAGAGTTATCGCGGTTTGCAAATGAGATATTTTTGCTATTATAGAATATAGCAAAAATATCTCATTTTCAAACCGCGATAACTCTTTAAAGTATCTATAATAGCAAAAAATTCCAAAAATATCTCATTTTCAAACCGCGAGAACTCTTCGGTTTTATGGAGTAAATTCATGTTTTAAAGTATCAATATAAAGAGTAAAAATTCCTGAATTCACTCATGTGATTTTATTTTAGTTTCCTTGTAAAAAAGTACAATTTACTCGTGAATATTTCAATGCCACTTTGCAGGTCATGTTCATTGACCCAAAACATGCATAAATACAATGGAAATTTAACATAAGTAAAATGCGATATACTGTATATACAAAATTAATAAACATGAAATACTGATAAATACTGTTCGTCTAAGTTTGATGTTGATAAAGTGTCGTGAATTTTTACTGTCAAAGACCTATCTAATCATAGCTGTGAAAATTGCTAAAAACGAATCTGATGATGATAATTTGGGCCTTTTATATGTTTCTTTCCCAAGCATTGGG